TTGACTTGGAAAAAAAAGATATTCTGAATTGTTTGTTAGAGGGTAAATTGATTTAAATTTCCTGGAAAGTGTTTTGAAAATGTATTGAAAACCTTAAAACCATATATACCCTTTGATCCAGCAATTTCACTTCTGGGATTTATTTTAAGTAAATAACAAGTATATGAAGATTTATGTTCAAGGATGGTCAACAAAGAATTATGTACATGAGCAATTCAAGGTTCAACAATAGAGAATTTGGTTAAATAAATTGTTTAACCATATAAGACAGATTATACGACTGCTAAAATAACAGCAAATGTGACTATTATTGACATGTAAAGGTGTTCACATTAGATTTATAAAAACAGTAGGTGTAACACAATTCATTTTTCTTTTAAAACTTTTTAAAAAAAAGAATGGGAAAATTCTAGAAAAGCATATCCTAGTGCTGAAAAGCATACCCTAGTACCCTAGTGCTGCTGCTATCTCTGTAGGTTAGAATTGTATGTTTTAGATTTTCCATCAATGTATCTGTATTTCAAATTTACTACAATAGTGAGGTACTAGTTCTTGATAAATTATCTTAAATTTAGAAAAATAAATAAACCAAGGTCTGCATCTCTAGGTTCTGTCCCATGCGCTTGGTGATCAATTACTTTGGCCCCGTTCATTGAGCACATTAGAGACTGTCATTAGCAGGGAGAGAAGCTCCATAGCCCTGGGCTGGAAGGCCTTCATGGGAGGATGAACAGGCACTTGTTCTGCTCTTGAGGAATGAAATGAGGCATTGCAAACCTACAGAAATTGCTCAAAGTTTTGCTTACAGGGTTGAAACCCTGCACTTTACATTCGCATCAGGCAGTTTTCTTTTTTGAATATTACAATTTTATTTAATCTTGGAAGCAGGCAAGAGGGATGTATTTATCTGAAATTGCCCAGGTTGAAAGAATAAGACAGCATGCATTTTAGTTCTTTAGTGTCATCAGTTACAAGGAATTCTAAAATCTGCTTTGTGAATCTAATAGAGGAAAAAAAGTACCTGTATGTGGCAAGTCAGGAAAAAAGGCAAGACTCAAGCAAAAGAAGGCAAAACAGAGATTGCAAAAAAATAGCCACTGGTCAATGAGTGGTGCAGTATGTCTTTAAAAAGTGAAAGCTTGTTTAGCTGGAATCAAAAGGGTTGTTTTTTTTTTTTCCCCATTAGCCAAAATTTCTCATGCACCACTCTTGCACCAAAAATAAGAGTTGTGTTTTCCAGAGTAGATGGGTTCTGGTTGTGACTTCAACCTGGGAACAGAAAAGGTGAACTTACATCAGGACCTCTGAAAAATCAACTAAAGTGTTGGGGATTATCTCAAGTCTGTGAAGTTAGGCTTTGACCATAGTAGCATCAGGATTCTTTTGCCTCTGGGTCATAAGACTTCAGGAAAGAGATCAAATTTCTCTAAACCTCAGAATGATGACAATAATGGCTTGACTTAACTTGTGGAATGTCTGGGAAGACCAAACGAGACGCTGTAGGTAAATTGTCTTTTACATGGCATTTGATATGTGTTCAACAAATATGAGCAATAATCAAAATTATTTTTAAAATTTTTTGTTCGTGTGCCACAATTCATCTTGTGAAAGCTCTAAGACTAAAGAAGCAACAGATCACATGTGGGGGCTGCCCTTGCTGATAGCTACTGACCCAGAGGCACCTGTTTCTGCAGTTTCTTGCTCTCTCTTCTGTCCCCCTGGTTTCAAAAGTAGCCAATGAGAGTTTCCCTCGCAATGGGCAAAGAAGAGAGTGCGTTTTTATTTGGAACATGGAACTGATGAGGAATTTTTGTTGTGAAATACCAGAATAACTATTTAGATTGATCGAGTCATGTTTGAATAAGATGGAATAGGGCCAGATGCTCCAGGAATAGACAGCAAAGAGCTGTCAGTGGGCTCTTGAGGATCCTATAATTTTTTTAAAGATTTATTTATTTAGGCATACGAGAGCTGGGGTACAGGCCAAAGGTATGGGGCAGAGAGGATTCACCAGAGACAGAGTGGGGAATAGAACAGGCAGGTTGACTGAAATATACTGCTGAGTTGGGGAGCAGGTGAGTCAGGAGAGCTCTGCTGCGCCATGTGTGTCACCTTCCTGGCCAGGGATTGAACTTGTGCTGTAGAGGCTGCAGATAGCTTCACAGGTTGAGTCTTAACCCTTTGTGCCACCAGGGAGGCCTGAGGATCCTATCATTTTTAAAATGCACTTTCTTTCTTTCTTCCTCATTAGCCTACCACAACACTACTCATGAATGGAAATTGGTTGGCATGAATGAGAATTTTCCCTGAAGAACGTTTGGTTTCCAACTCACGAAACTTAAATTATGCACTTATTATTTAAGCAGGATGGCAAATGTAGATCCTCTATTTTTACAAGAGGAATAAGGAAGGACATCACGACATTGAGGTGCTCCAAAATCATCTGAGGTGGTCATCCAAGATCCACCGATTCCATTGGGCTTCCTTCAGGAAATAGAATTAAATGATTTTGGCTGCACTACTTTGTTTCCTTCTGAGAAGCATTTGTGTGTCCAGACAAATAGAGAAATGTAGTCTGTGGGTGACCCATCAGCAAGCTCTTTACCACAAAGTGCTTCAGTACTCTTATGATTTCTGTGGGTGCCCAGGGCTTGTTGAGAGTCCAAGTGGGATTCTGACAAAGGAGAAAATGTAAGAAAATAGCCTCCTGCTCAACATTTCAGCCTCAGCCTGGAGACTGATGGCCATGAGCTGAGAAGACAGCTGTGATCCCAGCTCCCATCCCCATAGCATAGTTAGAGAAAACCTCGGTCCAGAGCACACATACTACATGCATATATTAGGCTCAAGCACACATTTTTATGTAGCAATGTCTGGAAGAAAGAACAGTTAAAATATTGTCCATAAGCCTTATATAAATGCTGTCCCTTAATTCGTGAAGTTAAAATATAACCAATTCTCTATTAGGTTGAAGAATTTTAAGATTTTCGCCTGAGAACCAAATTAGGGAAGCTTAGTCAAATAGTATTTTATTATACTGCAAAGTGCTGGGTTCATATAAGGAATATCCCTTCTATCTTATTGGCTGTCACTTAAAAGGGATAGTGTGAATGATCTTCCCTCAGCCTGACCAGCTTCCTCTTCATCTCAGCAATTGGATATGGGTTGAGTGCAGGGACCAGTTGCCACAGCAACAGCATTTTCCAGTAAAGGTGATGAGAGAAATCATTTCTCTCTGAATGCTAATAGGTTGTCACTTTCATCTTAAACCGGCTGTTTCCCACTGTTTTCTTGATTACCATGAAGCCAAAGAGATTATTTACAGATTAAGAGTTGCTCCTTGATCTGATCATTTGGGTCCCAATTTATGCTCTATTTTTTGGGAGAGGAAAAAAAATAATTGAAACAAATATTAGAGGTTATGTTTTCAGAAATTCACGGTTTGACTTTTACTCCAGAGACGACTTTTCTGTAGTACCTAGAAGGTCATTCTTTGAAGCAGAAACCATTTAGTGTGGAAAGCAATCCAGCCACTATGTGTAAATGCCATGCCCACATGGCCCTCGTTGCCTGCCCTGAGCATGTGGCTAGATGTGAGAGGTGGCTCTCACACTAAAAGGCAGAATGAGGGAGTGAAGACCAGTCAAAACAAAATCTACACACAAGACTGCATTTTAGATTCCTGGGAGTCACTTATACTGAAGAATTTTAGTTCTTTTCATCATTTGCTCCAAAACACGGGATTAAAGGTCTCAATAACTTGCTATCAGAAGTAAAGAATTATATAGAGTTCTCCCACTTGATGGCCTGTTGTTGAGCAAATGGTTATTGTGGGATGGGATAGGAGTTAATTGAAGGATGAGTTATTCTTTCATTTCTTAGAGAGCAGAAGTTAGTGTGGAGATGCATATAATGATTGTACATGTTGTCTAATTCTCTGTATTAACTGAACTTGAATTCTATGTTTGTTGCATACTCTATATGTTTCTATTTTATGGGGACAATTGGGAAAATAACAGTTCTATGTTAAAGGATGTTGATGAAATTAAATGAGATAGTGCATGGGAATTTATACTTTACACACTTCCTGGCATATGATGACTGCAGAAAGAAAAGTTTTATATTAACATTTCTATTTGCTTGACATGAAAGATCTCTGACTGCCTTAAGTCCAGAATAAAAATACTGCCTAGAGCCTCCCTGGTGGTGAAAGGGTTAAAGTCTCAGTGTTATCCAACTATATCCAGTCACTGCAGCATGAGTTCGATCCCCAGCCAGGAAGCTAACCCATATGGCATAGCAGACCTCTCCTGTGTCACCTGCTGCTCCTCTCAGCAGTGTACTTCAGCAGATAAGCCTGCTCTGCTCCTCATTGTGTCTCTGGTAAATCCTCTCATCTCTCCACCCCCGTACCTCTGGCTTATACCCCAGTTCTTGTATGCATAAATAAAAATAAATCTTTAAAAAAATATTATCTCAAGTATAGAATTATAAAGCGTTTAGTTGTTTCTCTCTCAAATGTTAAGACCCTTCAGAGTGTAGCAACGCCTAACCAGCCCCTATATTCTGTCCTGTGAACGATTTGCAAATAATGTAGCACAGCCTAGGTTGATGCAGATGTGTTTTTCAAAGTAAAATGTGTCCTTGAATACTAATTATTCACTAAAAATAATACTGGAGAATTTTTAGTGATGTGGAGAAATGTTTATGCCATACTGTTATGTGAAAACAGTGTTATAGATAAATAAGTGTGACATGATCCATTTTGAGATGGGAGAAAGAAAGAATATATGGAAAGAAAAAATATATACATATATATATATATATATATATATATATATACAAACACATATACACACGTATACATAGTCTCTGGAAGAATATTCTTGGAAATATTAACAGATATCTCATGATTATGAATGATTTTGTTTCTTATTTTCATCTTTTATTGCATTTTCTACAATGCACATGCATTATGTTGCAGCAAAAGAAGTAGTCATTTTCAGATATGAAACCGGATTGACTCTAAAATGTGAGTTAACTGCTATTTTCTTGTCTTTTCTATTATTAAGTCAAGTCTGTGACTGGGGAGCAGAAACAGAAATCTCGGTGGGGCTTGCCTGCCAGTCTGGGCCTCATTAGAGTCACCTCTTGTTCTCTGGGAACACTGAAGACAGCTGTTCCTGCTCTTGGCCTCAGGGCCCAGGAAGATACACTCACTGGTGTCATCTTGTCATCCTGCATCTCTCTCGAATGTGTCCTTTTTGGACAGGGTCCCTGATCTCTGCTGTAGTAGTTGAGTCACAGATGCTCCTGGTTGCTCACCAGAGCTGTGAGCCCACGGAAATCTTTCATTCCTGGATCTGAGCCAGTGAGAATAGGACTACTAAGGCAAGGGGTCTCCTTTCCTCCCACCCTAGGATCTATGTGCTTTTCAGTGGAGACTGGAAGAGGCCCTTCAGGGGAAGTAAAGCCATTAGACTCAGAGGCACACTTGGGTTTAACAAGAGGTTACCTTTCCAAAGTGGTGCTGGGGGCTCCCTGTGTTGAAAGCCAATTACTTTCTAGTAGCAACCTCGATCTCACTCACCATGGAGACCTGTGAATCTCTGCAACACAGAGGGGATGTCTGTGACGTCTTTGTGAAGGTGAGTAAACCTGGAGTTAGCTATGAATGCAGGAATCGCTAATGAGGCTGAGCTATTGCTATGGTTGTGTCATAGCAAATAACCTATCCTCTAGTTTACAAATGCTTTCTCATGATTGTCAAATCACTGCTTTCTTTATAATCTCTCATATTGAGAAAATGACCTCAGAAATTTAAAAGCTAAGATGCCATCAGGATATTGTTGTTGAACCATTTTAAAAAAGAAGATTATCTGTGCAAACAGAAACTTTATTTCAGTAGTAGACATTTCAGAGCCCCATGTATGAAACTGTTTATTTTTCTTTTATGATCAGAAAATCCATTATCCTACAATCTTGGGCATGCCTTATGTGTTAGCGGCAGGAACAAATTAAGTGCAAAGAAGCTCTTGCCCAAGAGAGCTGCAACTGATGCTTTGGTGAACTGCTACTCTCTCGATGCTAGGGGAGCACCTTAACATGATGAAATGTGAAAAAGTCTATTACCAGGTTGGGAACGATGTCACAACCCCACTGAAAACTGTTTTGTTGGGAAGTGACAAAGTAAAATGGGGTTTTGAGAAATGACTTAAAACATGTGCTAGTAAGCATGTATTGCTGGGAGTTCTGGAGATGGAGTGAAGTTAAAGATTTATTTAGTAAAGAGCTTATTGGTATGGGGAATATAAAAATAAAATTTATTAATTAAAAAAAAAAGAGCTTATTGGAAGGAGGGGAAGGAGAATGTAGAGGTGAGAGAGGAAAGTTAAGGGGGGTATACTCAGCATGCGCTAGAGCAAATTCCCTGTGGGATTGGATTATTGAGAAGTTTATGCCTGGGTGAAAGACATTAATCTCAGAAAAAAGGAAGCTTGGAAGAAGAACTGATTTGGTTGGTAAGGAGAGGATAGTTTCACATTAGACTTATTTATGATCATAGCGAGCCTGGGTGGAACCTATCAGAAATATTGACTGCAAAGAAATATTTGGGCATCATCTAAATGGCGATTGAACAGTTGAAGTATATGACAATGTCATGTAAGAGAACTTAGTTGAAGAAAACAGAATAGAAAACCTTTGGACGTAGAAGGAAAGCTGGCAAAGAACTTCTGACTCCTAACTATTGCTATATAGTTATGCAACTGGCCTACTAGGTTAAAAACCCTAACTCTTCCTTCTACTCAAGTTTTCATATTGAATTGTTCAAGTCCATCGATTGTTCCTTTAGGTACAGATGTTTGGGATACACCAGTGGTAAAGAAAGCTGTATCACAGAGGAATCTGGGAGTTATTAAGTCTATAGACAGAGTTTCAAGTCCTGAGACTGAACAAGGGCTTTCCAAGGCAAGTGTAGAAGGAATGAAGAGGACTAAGTTCTGCTCTCCGAGGGGCCTTATATGTAGAGGTGAAGGAAAGGTGAAGGAACTTGCCAAGAACACTATGAAGGGGTGATTAACAAAAACACAATGGGAGGATGAACAGTCAAAAAGTTTTGGTACAGAAGAGAAACTGTATGCTTGTAAGAGGAGTGAGTGACACACTTCAGTGGAGCCCAAGAGGCTTTCCTATGCCAAAATTTATAGGAATAATAGTAGTAGTAGCAGTAGTAACAATGGTAATAATAAAAATGATAGCAATAAATTTAACAGCAAGCGTTTACTGAGCATTTTTACTATTGATTTTGCTTTATATTTGGATCTTAATTACAGGTGAGGAAATGGAAGCACATAGGTTCTGGAACCTGTCCTAGATACAGGTGCTTTGGGTCACACCCCTAGTTTGACTGCTCAGAGGAGCTGCCTTTCTCAATTAAATAATGAATTTCTATGCAGTATTTTTCTTTTCTTTCTTTTTTTCCCTTTACTTTCTTCTTCTTTTCCCTAATAACTCAATTGATAGACCCACATGCTGAGTGATTAGCATGTTCAAGTAACTCTGTAGGAGATTTTTTTTTTTACTTGCCAGATAATTACTTTGAAAATTCCCCCTAAGTTATATCCAATTAGGGCATATTCAATCTGTTTCTATGATGATCTTTTTTACATTGATCTTGGTGTCTTTGAAAGAGCTGATAAATGTTCTTTCATCTGATGGCAGTTACATATTCACCCTAAACTTTCCCTTTTCTATGTATCCCCTCCCAGCTATCTCTTGGATTTAAGTGTGAAGGATAATAGTTCCTCAGAAGCAGCGTCTGGAGTTCCCTAAGCGCCTACCACTTTTCTCATACTTCTACATTTTTCTCATCCATTCCAATTTAGAATTAAGGCAGTAGGGCCATCTCAGAGTATGCAGTTTTGGAATTTTGCTGAAGAACAAATTATGGGGCACAATTGAAAATTTTGGAGTGAAAGAAATGAACTTCTATTAGGACATGAAATGTCCTAATAGAAGAAACATTTTGTTGTCTGCTTTTTATAGAAAACATATCTTACCTATGTTTTAAAATAAGAAGTATTTTCTTCTACATCATTTTTAATGTCTACACAGCGAGCCATTGTGTGAATGGATGTACCACGATATCTTTACCCATTTCTCTAATGAAAAATAGTTAATCTTTAACTTTTTGCTATTATAAATCCCACTGCAATAAACACTGGCAGCACAGCTTGGAGACACCTACATAGATGTGTTTATAATTTACAAAAAAAAAAAAAAAACACCTACATGGATGTGTTTCTGTCTTTTTCTTAAAGAATTTATGTGCCATTTTGACTATGTAAAAATTTTTAAATAGTTTCCCTCCTTGATTTCTTAAAAATTTATTATTGCAGTATCATTGGTTTACAACACTGGATATGATTCAGGGGAATAGATTGACACCTCCTCAGAAGTATGTCACCATTCACACCCACCACCAAGGCACCCATGGTCCTTTATCATAGGACCCTCCCCTTTTTGTCAACCCTCCCTTCCCCCTATAGTAGCCTTAATTCTGCAGTTGATTTCTAGGGTTTGTTTTGGTTTAGTTCTGTCACTTCCTTTGTTTTGTTTCACTATATTCCACATATGAGTAAAGTCGTCCAATTTTGTTTATATGCCTATATACATGCACAAAATTATTTGGAAGAATTCACAAGCTGTTATCATTTTTAAAAAAGATTTATTTATGCATATAAGAACTGGGGTACAGGCCAGAGGTGTGGGGGTGAGAGGATTCACCAGAGACAAAATGGGTAACAGAACAGGCAGAGCTACTGAAATACACTGCTGAGGGGAGCAGCGGGCAAGTCACGAGAGGTCTGCTGCGCCATGTGGGTAGCTCCCTGGCCAGGGATCAAACTCATGCTGCAGTAGCTGCGGATAGCTTCATAGTTTGCATCTTAACCCCTTGCGCCACCAGGGAGGCCCTGTTATCATTTCTTGATACTATAAATGTGTTTTTTTTCTCTTTGTTTTCAACTTTTAAAATGATAAATATGTATTGATTTGATAAAATGAAATAAAATGTTATCTTTTTGAGAAGAAGAAGAAAAAAAGAAATACTGAAATGATACAGTAAATGTTGCCTTTCAAATTGTTCTGCAGAAATAGATTCTCATGTGTCCCAATATATGTAACACTCTGATTAAAGGCCTTAAGGAAAAATTTGGCAAGTGCAGTATTAACAGAGGCAAATTCCATTCTCATTTGCCAACAGCTGAAAGGCAGATTCTTGTGGTAACATCTTTGAATTATAAACAATGCCATAATAACACTAGTAATTTGCAATCTCATCAGCTAAAATAAGAGACAATTATTGCAAATTGTATTGCTAGTATTACAGAAACTGAAATCTAATGTTTCTAAATCAAATTCCTATGGATTCCACAGGGCACTAAGTACATTATAAGATTTCACTGTACTCTGAGCATGTCCTCATTAAGACTGCTGGCTACTGCATTTTTATTGCTCTCCTGGGAGGTTTATTGAGTTAATGCTGCCAGTGAGAAGTACTATTTTCCTAGTTTTCCTGATACACTGGCTTCTGAAATAGGCCAATGGCTAATGAATGTGGTATGTTAGGTTATGATCATACATCTTTAGCACCTTCATGAAAAGTGAAGGCAATTAGAAGTCAGTGTGAAGTATGATAGAAGTAGAAAGAGTGTAAATATCTAAATATCTAAATAATCTCAGGATCAAGGTAATAAAAGATAAGAATGTCAATAGTATTAGGTGAATGCACCATATAGTTTGTGCTTTCATCATGACCATCACTATTATTTATCATAATTATCATTAGTGAATGGCTATTGAACAGTCACTGCAAGTAGTCAGTGGACAAAAGGCTCTGCTTGCACTATTGATTTCATTCTTAGAAGCCTTATAACTTAGGTATGATTATCTACCCTATTTTACAGATAAGAGAGCCAAAGTCTCCAGTTGTTGACAGACTATGTTTGTAGTCCTGTTTTTGAGAAGCTGAGTTAGGATTTGAACCCAGATCGGTTGGACTTATGATTTTTCACTATTAACCATTGAGCTATACTGCCTACTTTATAAACAGGTTAAAAATCTGAAGGGTGAGATAATCCTGAATTTAGAATAGTTTGTAAGACTTATAGTTAAGATATTCTTCCTCTAGCCTATAAAAATGCAATTACTTTTACATTTATCCTTATTCAATGACATCATATACTATTTGTCCTTTATCCTAATTCTGTCACTCAACATATTTATCAGCTCTCTTCCATCAGTCAATATATTCAATGCAGGAGACAGAAATTTTCTATATACTTTTAGGAGGAAGAAATTTCACACATATAATTAGGAACTTGGAAAATCATTGTAAAGAGTGAAACAATGGACTCTGAGCTAAGTCTTCAGAGATAATTTCCAGATTGTTACACAACTGACACAGCACAGTTGCTCTTACCTCTACGGCTACCTCTGAAGTAATGAGTTCAAAACCACAGTCCTAGTTGTGATGTAGTAATAATGTTACTACCATTGCAACTCCTGATACCCAGAAATATGTAAAAGAGACCCTGGAACACTGCTGCAGAAAAACCTTGCTTCTTCACAACCTTGCTTGACATAGAAACATGTGGAACCTCCAAATTCCACATGAGAGCCTTTATTGGTGGAATGCATTTTTCCCCCAACCATGTCTATTGAGGTAAAATTGGTTTACATCATTGGTGTCAGAGTGGGAGTAGAGGAGGGAGGGGGTTCAGTGGAGTATGGTGGAGGATTATGGGGCTTTGGTGGTGGGTATGATGTGAAAACATATGGTTGGAATGGAATTTGTACCCAGAAACCTAGATACAAAGAGGTAATTTGTTTTAGCTTTCTATCATCTCCTACCACAAGGAAAGTGAAATGGAGTTTGAGAAGTTCAACCCACAATATCAAATATATGTGAACCACAAATTTGATACCCTGTAGCTCAGGTGAATAAATATATTGTGCTTGGTGTGTGTGTGTGTGTGTGTGTGTGTGTGTGAGAGAGAGAGAGAGAGAGAGAGAGAGAGAGAGAGAGAAAGAGAGAGAGAGACAGTGACAGTGACAGAGACAGAGACAGAGACAGAGAGTGAGAAAGAGAGACTAGAGACACTCAAGTCATTGTTAAAAAGCTTGGTGGAAGCCTTTTAGCATGCTGCTAAGATATTTTTGTTCATGACTATCCAAACATGTCCATGGGCATAAAAATGTTGAATTTATTCAGATACACACTGAAGATCATACTTGTTTGCACACTTAATGAGCTTTCAAGAGAAACTGCATAAACTTGAGGAATGTTAGTGATCTGGCTCCTCCAGCTCTGGACTTGTTGACCTCTCAGAAGGAGTAATCAAAGCCTTGTCTGGAAGTTGCATATCATTTTGCATCCTCTCATTTCACCCATGTACCAAAGAGTGAGTGGTATTGTGCAGCTGCAGAAGACTCTAGTCATATAAAATTCTATGTTGAGTTTCAGGGGTAGGAAAACAACATTCACCCTGAATATTATATAAATTGCTTCCTTTGAAGCAGTTCATTGGTTTATGCCAGCTTGTGGTTGAACTGGTCAATTTCATGCTTTCCAGAGAAATTTGACCTGAAATATCTATTATAACAGTCTATTATATTTTACTCACTTCCCAGTTTAGTGACCCTGTTTTAAAAAAGATGATTTGAAGTTGATCTGATTAAGTTCTTGTTGGATTCCCATCAATTCTACTTCTGTTAGGTACTCCAAACTATCCCCATAATGGTGTATTTGTGCCCCTACGTTCTTGGATCTATCGCCAAGATAGGTTGCAGAACTCCACTGTCCTTTTTTTGAAACCAGTTCTACATGGTTTATCCAAGTTTCTTGCCCATTTTCTCCTCTCCACTTGTAGAAGGTACCGTTGGAAACACACACATATCCCCTTTGCTCTCACCATTCCTGACATGCCTGTAGAGTTCTACCCTGAAGGCCTGAGACCCTCTGCGTGAGGTTTTCTTTTTAACATGGGGAAATATTGAGTGCTGTTGACCTAGGATAAATTTCCTCCCAATGATGGGTTTGAGAAAATGTCCCAGTTTCCTTGTACCTTGGATGTACTCTAAGATGTTCACATGTTCTCACAGAGTTCTTTATCAGGATGGGGCCCCAGTTTCTATAGAGATCACCTATGTTATGTGACTAGTGCTTTCTGAAGTTGTACAATACCGCTGGCTCTACCACCTGCACCCCTATGTTTGTAGCAGCACTATTTACAATAGCTAAGCTTTGGAAACAACCCAAATGCCCAAAAATAGATGACTGGATCAAGAAG